TATATATATATATATATACACACACATACATATACACATATATATATATATACACATATACATATATATACACACATACATACATACACTTTTTCAACTTTAGTTAGTCTGTAATGTTGCTGTTTGAGCATAAAAATGATCTGCAAAGTTACAAAGCTCAAAGTCCACTTCAAAAGGAGATATTTTATTTAACAGAAATCCCTTTTCAAAAACTACAACGAATGACTCATTTGGACTACACACAGCAGCTAACCAATCACGGCACACAGCGGCCCAGCTAACCAATCACGGCACACACACCGGCCCAGCTAACCAATCACAGCACATTTCATATTTCAGAAGGCGGGCCTTCATTCGATACAGGAACTATTCGAGCTGTTCATGCCAGACTGGGGAGAGAGGTGTTGTGATAATATAAAATATGTGAAAAATAATGTGTTTTTCTAACAACCTAGTATGAGAACATGTTCTAGTACACCCCCAAAACAACATCAAGACTTTGTAAAAGAGCATAATAGGACCCCTTTAAGTGTTTTCTCCATTGATTGTGGAGTATGAAGCTCGTGAGGCGAGGCGAGTGTTTGGGGATCTGACCTTCTCTCCGTCTGTGGTTCGGATGGAAACAGCGTTTGGCACGAGCAGCGCTCTGGGGAGAGAGGTGTTGTGATAATATAAAATATGTGAAAAATAATTTTTTGTTTTTCTAACAACCTAGTATGAGAACATGTTCTAGTACACCCCCAAAACAACATCAAGACTTTGTAAAAGAGCATAATAGGACCCCTTTAAGTGTTTTCTCCATTGATTGTGGAGTATGAAGCTCGTGAGGCGAGGCGAGTGTTTGGGGATCTGACCTTCTCTCCGTCTGTGGTTCGGATGGAAACAGCGTTTGGCACGAGCAGCGCTGTGTTCTGCTTCTTCAGGACGCTCACACTGGCGACGGGAACGACCAGCTGAAACACACACAGAGGACTCTGTTAAACTGGGCTTTAATCAGGCTCTGAACGCCTGCGGATCGGAGCGCTTCGTTACCTTGGTGTCTTTGAGCAGCACGGAGGAGAAGAAGCACAGGCTGCTGTCGGTGACGTACAGACGGCCGTGATAAGGCACTTCCTTCTGCAGCGCACACACGTAAGCTGGAAACACACGATGACACAGACGTCACAGACATGCCTCGGATCCGTGTGCACTACTGAGCTCGCGCGAGACTGCATGTACAAGAGAAACAAAGCCTGTGCTCTCACCATGCAGCAGGTCTTCAGTCTCGGGGACTTCTGGGAAGAGTTTGTGGAAAGTTTTGTTGTGCTTCATAAAACTCTGAGAAGGACACAGGAAATGAGAATTAGAAGCGTTTTAATAACGTGTCATGTTTGAAAAGACTAATGAAAAGTCCTCTTACACTTCTTGAGTTGAGGCTTTCGCTTCTCTCCAGAGGTCTGTCGATATCAAGAGTGTGAGACCTTGCAATAAAACACCACACATTTTACATATCGATAAAGTAATAAAAAAATGGTATGTGGGTCAAAGGCGAAAAAGGGTTCAAGTGTGATACTGCTTTAAATTGTTGTTGTTTTCCACCCCACATTGTTTGTTTAAGTTTTCTGTTTAATTTAATTGCATTTTTGTTTTTCTGAGCAAAAAATAAACATCATACATTTTCCCCGATTTACAGAAGATGCCCACTAAAATGTCATTCAGTGTAACAATCTTGTCAGGCATATTTCAATTTATGACATTAAAAGACGAATTACTTTCACCCCAAATACTAATTAGTTGTAATTTTACATTTTTAAAACATGCCACTATCCTAGGTTTTGCCCATTTGTCAGTAAGAACTTTTTATTCATTTAAAACACAATAAAATGTAATATGCTCCCTTATTCTTTTATATATTTTAATATGTACATGTCAGAATAAGCGTGTTTGAATTTTTAGATAAATATTGTGTTACACTGAATGGCATTATTTCAACCAGATTTTGACATTTTATTCTCCAAAAACTTATTTGAAACCTTAAAAGTAGACACTTTACTTACATTTAATGTGCTTTCTATGGACATAAAATCCCTTTTGTACATTTCTTTTGATGCGGACAACTTAATGTCTTTGACCCATGTATAGAAAATTTTAATTTTAGTACTTATGTAATACTTATGTATTTTATTATATACAGCTTAATCTGTTTTTTTTTTTTTATTAAAAAATATTTGAGCATTTCTCTTTTTTCAAATAAATTCAAATTTGTCTTTATATATGAAAACACAAGATATTTTATATAAATGTAATTTGTTTTGAATTTTTACATTTATTCTTCCCTTGTTAAATGAATTTAAAAAAAATCACTTTATGTATGAAAATGACATTTTTGATATCGGTAAAGGCCTAAAACATGTTTTAAATATTATAAACAAACATATTTACTATAATAAATATTATTATTATTATTACTACTATAATAATATAATGAATATTTAATATATTATATTTATTAATAAATGTTTAAAAGAAAAATAAAGTGTATAATTTCTTTAAAAAAATTAAATTATATATTTTATTTTTTACAAAAACACATTTTAAAAATGAATGATTGGCAAATAATTTTTATAAAATGTATTTTTATGAATAATTCAATATTTTATTAATTGTATCTACAATTTTTTTTAAAGACACTATCTATATATTTTTTTAAAACATTTTTCTTTATACGTGAATACACCACTTATTTTAGATATTGATGAAGATAATAAAATAATAGATTTAATAATTATTTTGTTATTGTTTTATTGTTTATTTTTTTTTACACACACACACACACACACATATCATTATTTTTTTTCCTCTAGATGAAAACACCACATATTTATATATTGATAAACGTCATTATAAAACCCTTACTTAAAAAAAAAAAAAAAAAAAAGTATTTTTTATTAATTTTTTTTACATTTTAAGAAAAATAAAGTGTATAATTTCTTTAAAAAAATTAAATTATATATTTTATTTTTTACAAAAACACATTTTAAAAATGAATGATTGGCAAATAATTTTTATAAAATGTATTTTTATGAATAATTCAATATTTTATTAATTGTATCTACAATTTTTTTTAAAGACACTATCTATATATTTTTTTAAAACATTTTTCTTTATACGTGAATACACCACTTATTTTAGATATTGATGAAGATAATAAAATAATAGATTTAATAATTATTTTGTTATTGTTTTATTGTTTATTTTTTTTTACACACACACACACACATATATATATATATATATATATCATTATTTTTTTTCCTCTAGATGAAAACACCACATATTTTATATCTTGATAAACGTCATTATAAAACCCTTGTTTAAAAAAAAAAAAAAGAAAAAAGTATTTTTTATTATACATTTTTTTTTACATTTTATTTCCACCTATGCTTCTATATTCATAACAGTTTCCGATCAGTGTCATGTTGACCATCAGAGTGATTGTTAGGCTGGTCTACAGTAGCAGAACTGGTTAAACGCAACACAACTCGATGGAAAGACTCGGACGCTCTCGTACCTGTGCAGGACCTGCCGGCTCAGGCTCTTGGTCTGCTGCTGAACCTCCAGCTGATTCTCCTCCAAACTAAACCCCTTCCTGCTCCCCAGCTTGCTTTTCGTCCTCCCCTTCTTCACCTTCACGGGGATCGTCCCGGCATCCGCCGCATAGCTGTGAACACAGCACAAAACCACCGTCAGCCTCATGACTACGCCGCTCACAGCTCTCTACTCCAACCTTAAACACCGCCTGACTTCACGAGGCCATGCGAACGCTTGCAAAAGACAGACAGATGGGAAATACAGGGCATTTACCAGGAGTAATGATATCAAATCATGCAAACAGCTCAGCTTTACGAGTTTCTGTCAGCCGCTGATACGAGTGTAATGGTTAAACTGAGTCAAACGCGCCAGGAAAGCAAATATATGATAAAACAGACCAACAGCACTTCACTCCGACCTCTATAACACAACCACAGCAGTAAAAACTCAAGAGTAAACACTACGGACTGAAAAACAACCTTCAAAGCAAACTCCGCACCAATTTTCACTTGGAAATTGCTAGTAAAATTTAACAGGTAATGCATTGAATGCAGCCCATTGAATGTAAACCTGCTCTACCAGTAGAAATACTCCAATACTCTTGCTTAAAAATGACTGAAGTCCTATTCGTTCACACCTGTAGAGATTATTTCCATGCCTGCGAGATAATCGTAAACTCAACGACCTGTTCATCCTCAAAAAAACAACAAGTGTACAAAACTGGCCTCAAGCCATAACGCTGGAGTCTGATGCTCGGCCAAAAGCAATAAATAAAGTCTAGAGGCTCAGCGAGTCTAAAAAACACAGGTCTGGTCTGCGGCCGCGTTCCAGTGGTAACTGCTGCCTTCCTCTGTATGCAAATGAGAGGGGCGGAGCTAGAACTCAGCTCTGGTCTGCAGTTTCTCCAATGGGAGTTGCTCCCTTCCCACTGTATGCAAATGAGTGGGCGGAGCTGAAGACAGAGTTCTGGTCTGCGGTCGTGTTCCAATAGCCGCTGCTGCTTTTTCCTGTATGCAAATGCGAGTGGGCGGAGCCTCTGACCTCAGATGGTGTGACTGTGGCTTGCTGACGTAATGCAACACCTGCACGCAGGTGAAAACATGCTGAGAAACACATGTTTCTCAGCATGCTTGACAAAGGCGCTTGACAAGAAGCGAATGCGTTTACAGTCAACAAGTCATGATTTATAGAAGCGAAAGTTGAATTGCTGTAATTCTTCGCCTGAAAGGAACTCAAAGTAACCGCTTCCTCGTTAAGCACTGAGGTTTTGTTGAAACGCTACATGTGCCAAGCACAGCTGCTGGAAACCTTTCCCAGCATTCAGAGCCATCTTTTATATATAATCACTTATTTTCCCCCTAGATTTTAAAATGGCAAATATATGTAATATATTATATATAATACTTGTTGAAAAATTTATATTTTCACTTCTCTTTCTTTAAATAAACATATATCTTACATATATTTAATTGGTTTTAAAGAAAATACATTTGATCATTTATTCATCTTTTTTAAATGAATTAGATTTTTTTTCTTTCTATATGAAAATGCCACATTTTTTTATATTTGAAATGGCCTATAATATTTTAAATATTGTAAAGAAATATATATATATACACACATTTACAATGTATTTTTCTTTTAAAAAATTAAGATTTTTATTTTTTATATTCATTTAATTTAAAAAGGCTTTTTTCTTTATGAAAACAATATTAATATAAAAGGCAAAATAAATAAATACAATTTCTTTAAACATTAACTTTTTTTTTTAACGTTTTTTAACGTTTTATAAAAAAATGTTTTTTTCGTCATACATAGACTTGCCACATATTAAAAAATAAAAGACCTATTAACATATTAAACCGATTACTCATATTTTAAAAAATGTAATAAACACACTGAGCAGGCATGCATCCACCTACGATGGGCGTAACGATTACGAATGACTCTCAAATGCCACGGAAACATTCCTGAGCTCATCTGCGAGGGAAGAGAAGCTTTTACAGCCAAAACAGAACAAAAGAAAACCATTACGACACAAGGAAGCTGGCAGCCACTGAAATAACGTCTAGAATTTTACAGAGAATTCAGCCAGCTTTTGTTTGAGTGTTTCATCTTGAAACCTTTAGATATGAAAGCAAATCAACGGCACGCAAACACATTCAAAAGCAGAGCCGCACCTGCAAGAGGCTAATTTGGCGTCACGGATGAAATAAACACTGACGAAAGCGTTGCCAAAAAAGCAGGAATACCAAGAAATCATTCTTAATCTCATTTGCCTATAATAAGATGTGTAGAGGGTTTTTTCTGACCTAAATAACCACACTATAAATGCAAAATCTATACGAGGAAGTAAACGTAATTTGAAACTTCACATGGAACCACTGGGACACAACACAATTGAATCATATATAATTGAAGAGTAAAATGGGAATTATTAATTTTTCATTTTCAATGCTGATACTGATTACAGTAACAGAAAATAATTAAATGACAATAAAATTAATAAAAAATATATTTAATAAAATTATACTAATAACTATTATTAGTAGTATTAGTATTCAGTAATATATTATTTTATAAATTATTTTGCATACAGAAATTAAAGAATGTAATAATGAAATATAAACTTTTAATTTTCTCAATGGTTATTCTGATAATATATGATACCAAAAAAGAATGTGATTCTGGTAATATAGTAACTTTTTACTGTATTACCTAAAATATTCACACAATATGGTTTAAGCATAAACTAAAGCAACTAATTCACTGCATCACTTCCATTTTCTTCAAGCAAAACATAATTGCTGCTTTCGCTTTTGCAATCGGCGTAAAACAAGCCTCACAAGCTCTCTGTAGAGTACGATGTATTGAAGACATTAAAGCACACTTCATATTGCAGATCTATTTTTAAAAGCCCTCAGATCACACCCTTTAACCGGCTTCAGTAAACCCCCAACCACAGTGTTTTCTTGTGTCTGAGGTCGAGTATTCAGGCGAAGCAGAGGCATTTTGGGAATCTGATGCCCCGCTGTGGGAGTTTATAAGAATGCAAGCCAGCAAAGTCATATTTGTAAATGAAAGTGTTTGCATGAAGTGAACCAAACACTGTTCAAACAGCTTGATTCAATGCCGTTAGGATTTCAACTGTGTCATTCCGGTTTCGTGGCATTAGAACAATAATAAAGGACCCAGAGATCCTGTTTAACAGTCTTATATCTCATGCACAATGAACCTCACGACTTCTATTTGGCTTAAAGATGCACAGTGATTCAAAGAGAAGACAACGAGCTGCTGACTCGTCTGATGCTGAAGATAAAACCAGATGAGATAAGCAACAAACGGTGGCACCAAACAAGGAAATGTGTTAGAGTTCAAGGCACGTTCTCAGCGATAAACGTTTATCGCGCTCGCCTTTGCGCTGACAACGAAAGTTCAGTCTTTGCAAATGAGTCAAAGTGTTGGAGAACGGTTGGTTTTGGTGATATAATTGGCATGAACAAAGACAGAACTAGTCAATGTTTTGGTCTTTAAAGCTGTTGGAATTCAATCCGCTAGCTATGAAACCAAATCCCCAGCAAGCTAGCGGCTCAACGACGTACTCGCAGCTGCTCACCATCATATATCAGAGCTAGCTAAAGCAGTTCTAAACGTCTCCTACCTTCCCAAATCCTCACGCGCGGCCGTATCCAAGCGGTTTGGATCCTTCTCGCCATCCATTGCAGCGTCCTCTCAGCGCAAGCGACTACTGAACTGCTTTTGACCAGCTGAACTAGATGCTGAGCAATGGGGTCTAAAGGTTTCCTTTTACAGCTGCTCAGTTACACAAGCGCAGGCCGTCGGAATAAAAGTGAGATAGTGAGGCACAGGGAAGCCAAAGTGGGAGTCGAGGGAGGGATAAAGGATCCCACAATGGCCCATTTGAATGCCATTGAAGGAATGCAAACAACAGAAGACAAGACTGAAGACATGCAAACAAAGGCCTCGCTAGTGGCCACCTATTGTCTTTGTGATGGGGTAGAAGGTCAACAAACCCATGGGAAATCTAGAGAAAGAACTCCACAAGACCAGGAGTTTTTTTTGCAAGGATCTGATTTGGCCAATACTGGAAGCAAATAAATACTTCAAGTATACTGGAAGGTTTCTGTGTGAACCTGAAGCTGCTTCATGGAAAAACTGAGCAAAATCCAGTTTATGTGAAAAAATTAAAATACACAAATTCGATTTCGAACACAACATAAAAAATTAATCAACCAAGATTTTAATCAAGAGTTTAATCAAACAAGAGATCTATTTTTAAAAGCCCTCAGATCACACCCTTTAACCGGCTTCAGTAAACCCCCAACCACAGTGTTTTCTTGTGTCTGAGGTCGAGTATTCAGGCGAAGCAGAAGCATTTTGGGAATCTGATGCCCCGCTGTGGGAGTTTATAAGAATGCAAGCCAGCAAAGTCATATTTGTAAATGAAAGTGTTTGCATGAAGTGAACCAAACACTGTTCAAACAGCTTGATTCAATGCCGTTAGGATTTCGTGGCATTAGAACAATAATAAAGGACCCAGAGATCCTATTTAACAGTCTTATATCTCATGCACAATGAACCTCGAATGTATAATTGTGACCCATACAATGTATTGTTGGCTATTGCTACAAATATCCCCCAGCGACTTAACACTGCTTTTGTGCTGCAGGCTCACAAATGGTTACTTTATAATTTAGATTTTTCTTCTTCAATTGCAAAAGGCAGAAAAAATATTCACAAATCCATGCAAAATGATAAATGGAAAAACTGAGCAAAATCCAGTTTATGTGAAAAAATTAAAATACACAAATTCGATTTCGAACACAACATAAAAAATTAATCAACCAAGATTTTAATCAAGAGTTTAATCAAACAAGAGTTACATTTTTCTCAAGACAGCTAAAAAAAATTTAAAACCAGTGTTATTTTAGTTTCATTGAGTTATTAATATTTAGAACTACTTTTTATTTCCCTATTTTAATTTTAGTTAATGATACTTTATTTTTTTTGTATTTTGCATCTATATGGATGTATTCATTTTAATTTTAGTTTGTAAAATATGTAAATTGTTGTTATTTTAGCATGTGTGTTTGGCTCAGTGTTATTTTTTTACGATTACTGATAAACTAATGTACTTTGATTTGTATTAGTTATCTATTTTAGTTTTAGTTACAGTAGTAGTAAGTCATTTTATTCGTTTTTTTATTATGTCTATATAGGGTTTTTTTTTATTAAGTTTTAGTTTTATTTAATTTGAGTTATTTCAGTACTTCAACATACAAAATGGAAATTATATATATATATATATATATATATAGAATGTATTTATATATATATATGTACATGTATATGTGTGTGGCTGTACAAACACATATGTAGTTGTTTTTTGGTGTTATGTTAGAATCATTATTATACTCATACCTTTTGTTCTTTAATATTTTGAAATGTTTTTAGCTTTATTTTTTTGTTTTCATTTAAATGTTTAGTTTTGAAATGTTGCATGCATTTGTCATTTTTATTTAATTTATTTTATTTTATTAAATGTGTAAATATATAGTATTTATAGAGTTTTAGCTTTAATTACTTCTTCTTATCTGTAAGTCGCTTTGGATAAAAGCGTCTGCTAAATGACTAAAAGTAAAGTAAAAAGTTTCAGTTATTTTAGGAAATCAAGTTAAACTAAATGAAAATGATAAATGTTGTAACTTACTTTTTTATTACCACTGAACCTTTTCTCCATCTGACCCCTTACCTCCTTGTGCCATTATAAATAAAGATGATTCATCCCTGGCCTAATGCACACTGCACATACACAAGCATTCAAGGCTGATGTTTGCCAATGGAAACGCATCAGCTCATATACGTCCACACCTGCACGGTGAATCACAGAAGATAGCTTAAAGATCCTTGTCAAGGCCTGAAAACAAGTAGTTCTTGAATCTTAATCAGTATTTCTCAGGGCATTCTGTACTTCTGTTTATAAGAAAGACACCATGTTCTAATGAAGATGATTAAGTGAGTGTTTGCCCAGTTTCATGGAGCACACTAGCATAACTTGATATGGAGAA